CGTGACGAGGCCCACTTTTAATCTGTACCCCGCAAAAAATAAAATTAATTCTACCGCTAATTAATTACTCTCGTAATTTCGATAACAATAGCACTTTATCTAACGAAGAAGTCGCACAATGGAGTCTATTATTTTTTGTTTTGCTCGTATAATAGTGACATAACTGAGCCCGATGTGGTAGAAAAGAGATAAATAAAAAGGGTATTAATTGATAGCTAAAAGTAGGAACAATGGGGATATTCTACGCATTGAAAAAATTTTTAAAATGAAAAACCGCCTCTTGGGGAACCTGCTTTAAAATTAAAGCGTAATATTCCCACATTACACTTACTAAGGATTAGGTATAAGACCTTAGACACAATAGCTTACTTGGGTCTAATTAATATGCCCTATTCAGGATCTAATTTTAATGAAGTAAAATCTCTATAAATCCTGCAATCTTAAAACAATATATTTTTTTAGTATAATGCTAACTATTGTGAAAGTCTCACTATTATGAGACTTTTCTACCTTCAAAAATTAGTCTATCATTGAAGTATAATTCAACTCCAAGTTCATTAAATTAGATACGGTCCTGCGAAAAGGTACGCTTTTGAGCGTAGTTAATGTAAATTCTTTAGTTCTATCGGAAGGGCGGCTATACGCACATATTGCGGTAATTTCACCGGCCACGTCAATTTAATTACTGCTAAAAGCGTATCAGCACATACAAAGAGCGGACCCTGTCATATAAACGTATAAATTACTAATAATTTTAGGGAATGAGCATGTCGAGATTTCAACGTCTGTCTATAGTTGATGGGTTTCTCTAAAGGAAAACTTTCCCTTTAATATATCCAGCTTTGCTAAAGCGAATGGAATATACTAGTAGTTTAAAAACTACATCGCTCTAGCAAGTAACATAGTGTATAATAGCTTCAAGAATGATTAACTCAGTGAATTCCATTGCAACTGCGCTATATTTCGGATTGATGAATATTTTCAAACGAATTGACATCGAAACGCTACACATGATCGCATGATTGCGAGTTTCAATTCATCCGAAGATGCGAAAGTTGTCTTAACAACTGACAATTACAAAGCGAAACCTACGTGCCCGTACGCTTTCCGTTTACCATAATATGCGGCGCATAAGTCGCGGGGAACTCGCTCCGCATACCCGATGAATTTTCGCAAAATACGAAACGTGCATTCTATCGAATTAACGACTCGGGCGATATTAAAACTTTTGACGGACGATTTCGCTTCGCTATTGTGTCACGAGACACTCCCGATAAAGCGCTGAAAACCGCTTAAAATTCGCTACATGATGGAACAAATTTTTTTGGTACTTAATTCATAATAAAATTAATTGAGTTCGAAATTATACAGGTGTTGTAGTAAAATTTATAATTCCATTTGTCGCCCCTTAATTGTCGTTATAAATAATTCATTTAAATAATCGCCATTCCATAATTGCTTGTTAAAGTACACAAACTCCCATTTTGTAGCTAATTTATATATCACAATGGCCTCCTCTTCATGCGCTTCACTCACCTTTCGGCGTTACTGCATCCGTTCCGCCGTAAGTTTAGACGCCGTAAATCTTTATTAAAAACCCCTTTGGCGCGATGCGAGGAGTCGCGCGCGCCCCCGGCAATAAGTTTTTCCGGCTCGACGGCGACGCCTCATAACCGGGAAAGTTATTAATTCGCATTCGAATTACGGCGAGGTGTCGTCGGAGTTATCGTTGCAGATTGCTATTGAATTCGATTCCGGTTGATTCGAATCGCCGAAAACGCGGATTCGCCGTAACGGGACCCGTCGCCTTCGATTGTGATTCGCGTCGGCGTCGCGACGTCACGCGTCGTCGCTCCAAAGGAAATATCCGACGCCGGGCTTTTCCTCACCTTTGAACCGGTTTCTTAATAACGATGGAAAATAGTGGTTATTGTCGCTTTGGACGTTTGTGATCATCTCGTATACAAAGCTGAAATTTCAAATATCCTCTACCGGCGTCGAAAAAGGACTTTTTACAAATATTCCCAATATATATAATAAAATATATAACATTATTCCTGTACATACAATACATTAATAAATGTATCTCGTCCATATGGTTCATTGGGCTCACCTTTGTTCGTTGTTTGGCATTGATCATACGCAGTTATTGTTTAAAATTAATTTCTCCATGTTTAAATCAATTCGGGAATTATTTATGTTGGGCAAATATTAACAAGTCAGATTGTTTGTATATGGTAAATATATTATTCAAATGCGATGCCAATCAGTTTTTATTTACAAGGGTTAAAATATTATTTGCTTACGCTATATGTCGAACAACAGTATTAGGAAAGGGAGATTTGTTATTCAATTATGTAGAATAATTAATTAAATAGTGTATATATACGGCGATTGTTGGAAATGGCGGTTTGTTACTAGTAATAAATATTTAATAATGCCGGGAATTTTTTTAAATAAATAGTTCAGCTGCCTAACATTTACATTTACTTCGGTAGCTTTTAGTAAAGTCTTAGTGTCTATTAAAAGCGTCGTGCAAAGTGTAGAGCACCAATTAGTATGCAAGGGAGACTCTTCTGAATGCTTGGCGGTCGTCGATTCTTCTTTCATTATAATATCCGCCGAATTGTATAAAAGTAATATTATTTGAAGCGTAAAAATATTTCCCCACTTCAAAAATATTCATTAAAGGTAGTTGGAATTTTCTTCGAAAATAATTAACCTAGATTTCCCCCAATCGGATAAAGAAACTCCCTTTTCGGTGGTGTTTTTTTTTAATTTCACTTAATACAAATATTAATTCGGAGTTCCCAACGTTTCGCGTTTTTCACCCGATTCTTTGGCTCTAAAAAAGTACGCTCTAATTACTCTCCGTCCGGGCTTTAAACTCCGCGGTAATCGCTTTGAATTCGAAAAACATTAAGTTATTAAGGAATATAAAATGCACAAATTCCCACATAAAATTATTCAGTGGATTTTAGTTCATTTTATCGCCTTTAAAAGTATATTTACGTTGGATTTTATTTGTAAGTTTTCGACGGGAATGAAATAGTTGAGTGGAAAAACGCAGAAATAATCGTATAATAACCTCCCCACACGCATATACCAGCATAAATCAAAGTGCGGTGCATTTTAGCCACTTTATTTCGACTCTATTCCCAACAATCATGAACCTTCGGCTCGGCCGAAAAGTTTTAATTACACTCATAAATCCGGCACGCCAAAAATATCTCACTTGAAAAATCTAATACGCAATAAATCGGCCGGAGCGCGCCATAGAATGCACTCGCCAGTGAAATTTGAATAAAAACTCCCATCGGTGCTTTATTTCAATTCATTTCCACCATTAACTAAAAACATTTACAACCTACACCCGCAGAAATTTAGATAAATGTAACTGCACTTTCTTCGCACACAACGAGCTGTACTTTACAGAGCTTTTTATTGAAGAATTATACAGGGCGGCGCAAAAATTATGCTTAACTACAAGCTGCTGGGACAAAAAATTTAATCTAACTAATCAATATCCAAAAGTGAAGAAAGAAGTTACATAAACTACTTGTAGAAAACTTAATATTTCAAAATATAAATTAAAAAAAAAACTGTTCAATATTTCTTCTTCCATTATGAATAGTGTGCGCTTTATCAAACTTTCAATATTCAACACGTCGGTTCTTGTACACGTCTGCTGTATCTCCCCGGAACTAATCCGATTTTTAAACCCGCTCATCCACCTATACCGGCGAGTAACGTGCATCTCCATTACTTCAGGTACTCCATTTACGACTCGGGCGCGACGTGTAATCTCCAGCTCGAAGATAAAATATCGCGACCGGGAGTGAGCGATAAGACGAGGCGTGATAAGAGCGTAATTCCGGCAGGAGTACGAGTTATGTAAGGGATCCACAACATGAATAAAGATGAGGCCTTCGCACGGCTACGTCATTCTTGCGAATCGGTTTCGGAAGGCGGCCACGCGTGTGTAAAGTATAGTCTTTTCAATGCCAATTCTGTGTAATATTACCTACAACCCGATTCGAAAAGACTATCTCTTGTATCTGGTATCTCGGAGAAGAGCGCAGGAGATATCCTTGGTATAGAGGTATAGATATGAAGTATTTTCATTTAACCTGTTTCACGTTTTTTTTTTTTATATTCGATCCAGTTCGTGCTGATCTCAGCGATGAATTGACGGGAAAATCTTAGAAAGGGGAGTTCTAGGCAGGGTCAACGGAAAATCATCCCCCATTCCGGGATTGCGATCGGCGACAAGGGATTGTTGATAAATATAAAACCTCTTCTGATCCCTTATCGACAGTAACGTTTGGAAAATTTTTCGCCTTGTAGTTCGGCAAATAATATCCCTTTCGATATAAATACATATTTCGCTGAAAATTCGTTCGTTGGAAGCTGCACGAAGGAAGAATCATGAAAAATATGTATGTTTAATTTAGATTTACAACCAGCTTCGCCTTTTAATTCCTCCTTCTGGGTACCATAAACTTCCCCGAACTCTCCGGATTTCCGTTATTTACACTCGGAAAACGTCGCGCATTTATCCGAATTCCCGCTTTCCCGGAAAAATTTAAGAAGTCGTTAATGTCCGCCGGTGTGTTGTATTGAATTAGTTTTATGTTATATCTGACGTTGCGTTCCGGCCTTATCGGCTTGTTTCTCTTTCCGCGGGATCTCCCGTCGCCGCCCAAAAATTTTCCGCCCTTCGCAGACAAGACGTATTTCTAAGATAAATATTTTCACGAGACCTCCGAACTAGCCTCTAAGAAAATGGCTAAATAAATCCCCTGTCGTGTTTTCGGAGGTAAAATAAATACATTACTCTCTAAAACAGATAAGTGTGTTCACTTTGATATGCAATTGACTCTCTTGAGAGGATAAATTTTACCCTTAGTAGGTACTTGATTAGCATTAACAAATCTATTGATTAGATAAATGATATAGGAGTTATGTACTTAATCTAAACGTGAGTTTAATCCACTTACCATTCAGTTATATCGATTTTCATAATTCGCAATATGAACAGTTGAAATTGAAGTCGATGCTATATCTTTATTACCTGAAAAAAAAAACATAATACATTAATAAATTTTTATAACGTGTTTGTATTCTTGCAAGTAGGTACTTACAAAGTAAAACAAGCTGTGTATGTACACACAGTTTATGTGTAGTTGATTAAAATGTGTTGTTCAGTGCAAACAATTCATGATGTATACAGTTTACTGGCTATAAAGAAAAGTAATTGCCTGCAAAGCTCTATCGGCTTTTCGTTTTTTTTTTTAATAAATTTTAGCTAAAATGCAATGCGTGTTACGGAGATTAATGGAAGGATAGGAAAATAAAGCCGCGGATTCCAATGGAAGCTCGTTAAAATTTATGAGAATAGAAAAATTTGCATGCGAAAAGGCACCGGTTTTTTATTAGGTAACTATTTGATTTCTTTGAAGCCGAAGCGCCATCTTTTTAACAAAGCGACATTTTTTCCGCACCCAATCTATTGTACTTAGATATACACAGTTAACGAGATCACTTTGTTTCGTACTTTAATAGCATCCTACCAGATCTTTCGATTAACCCAATTCGAAAAACATCCTGGCCGTTGCGCTATTATCGCCCCCATTCCGTTTATTACTTTTAAAACGGGCGATATTTGATGGTTGTATTTATCCCGAAATGCGCTAGTGTTTCGCGAAACGCTAGGCGCAATTAGGGCCTTCCGAGTTGGAATTTCCAATTGGACTGTTTACCCTTCGGCCGGAAATCTACTTCGCGAACCGGTTAAATCAAATTTCGACCGGAAAAAAGTTAATAAATTCATTTGTGTACGCCGCAGATGGTTTTTACGGCTCGTTTTGAAATTTTTCCGCGCAAACATTAAGTCAGGAAACGGCCGGATTTATACAATTGCACCGAAATCGTAATTAATTTCGCTCTAGAGGGTGGTGGGCTGGTGCAAATGATGACGAGATTCGTTTAGAAAATCAAACTTATTTATTTTATTCGCATATCATTTCCATTAGTTACGAGACAGATACATTTAACCGAAACCTTTTCGAATGAAACAGCACGATTTCGCTACTAGTTTTAACGCGCGCGGAATTTGATTTAGTAGAAACGAAAACCTAACCGGAGGGAAACGAAATCCACGAAATCGTTTTAATTAAAACCGCCGCACGCCGAAATGGAAATCGGAATATTACATCCATTTCCGCATTGTCTAAGGATGATCCGCTGTTTAACGGCCGATTAAACCAGCTATTGTCGAAAAGCCGTTCTCACATACGTCACCCGTACATCATATTCGGTGTAGTCGAGAGGATAGGGAAACACACACACGTATACACGTACACCTACAACTCACCCTCTAGGCTAGACGAAGGGCGGTTGAATTCAATTCCATCGAATTGTTTTACACTCGAACGATCCCGTGCGTTTGGCACGAGATATATTAGTCATTTTAGAAGACACGCCATTGTTTTCTAACATCACTCCGATGTTGCTATCTTAATCATTTATCATTTCACACAAAAACCTGCCCGAAATATTACCTAATGTATTTTTAATGTACGGATAAAGTATGACTAATGTATTACAAAGGTATGACAAATGTATGACTAAAGTATCACTAATGTATCAGTTTCATCACTAAGGTAACACTAATGGGTCATTAAAGTGTCACTAATGCATGACAAATGTATGACTAATGTATCTTTAAAGTATCACTAATGCATGACAAAGGTAAGACAATAGGTTAGACAAAGGTAAGACAAATGTATGGCAAATGAATGCCAAAGGTATCACTAATAATGTATGACTAATGTAATAACGTATGATAACTTTAGTGATGTATCTATACATTTGTTTGTGTCGAAAATCGGAATTCATTTGTGCCACTTGTGGCGGAATTCGGGGCAGGTAGGAGAAAAGAAACATTGGGTAAATCGCAGGAACCTATGTTTCCCTAAATCCCTAATATCTCTTCCGCCAGGTAATAAATGTCTTATTTCTGCGAGGAACGGTGTCATTATTTTCCAAATGAACTCCTACTGGCGGACAGTCGTTTAGATACGAGCTTTTTTTACGTTCGTCTGCGCGAAAAGAAGAGTTCGCCCGGAGATGTTGCAATAAAACCGAATCGGCGAAAGGAAAGACGACGGGTCGGAAGCGATTTATTAAATTTACGGGTAGAGATGATTATTTAGGTACAATTGCGATGATTAAAATCCATCGGTCAGTAAAATAACGCACGGCGAATCAAAATTTAATGATATTCGTATGTAGCGTTTTCCTTTAAAACGAAATAATGAGGTGCTATTACAAACACCCCGTATAAAAGCGAGGCAATCATTCAACGAATATAGCGTTTCGGTATTTTGTACGGTTTTGAATTGTTTACCGACATGTCAGAGGGCGAACAATGGAACAGAAGAACAATCAAAGCAGAAAATATAACGTTTCCAATTCAAAATATAATTCATTTAATTAAGCATTTTCACGGTAGACCGCCTTGAAACTACAGTTTCCATTTAATTTCGAAATCCCTATGTGGGAAAATTTCTTTTCACTGGAAGCTCGAACGTTCGTTTAATCTGTTCCATAGTTTTCGCTACCTGTGGAAATTAAATTTTTGCCGGCGAATATTTCATCGCTGCATTCGCTATTTTAGCATTATAGTCTATTATCTTTAGTGATAATTTTATCAACTAAATTGCAGCGGATTTTAATTAAAATATTTAGCAGGTAATTCAAGTGAAATCTCAATTAGATAAATTCGAGCATTTCCACTCGACCTGTACGTTATTATTTTTGCCTCGAATTTTCTTTTAACGATCTAATCAATATTTTTGAACGGTTTATGCAAAATTATTTTTAATCGAGCTTTTACAAGATAAATAGCGTTAAATAATATTACAGCAGCTATAATCGATTAATATTGTAAATTTAGTTCGATTTGGATTAATTAAAACGTATAATTCAATATACGCAGTTCGCTAAAACCCGAACAACTTTCCGGACGAAATAGTTAATGATTAATTTTACGCTCTGATATGACGAAAACGTTTAATGCAATTTCGTAGTTTCGCACTATCTCCAAAACTTTTTAATTCATTTATTATGGAAGAGCTCAAAATGTTTAGCGAAATGGCGAATTTGTTAACTAAAAATAAAACCAAATTACCCGGCCCTTATTACACTCGGAGTGTTCGCAACTTCGCATAAACCGAACAAATAAAAGTCCACTTATTGTCCCCGGTTATTAACTGTAATAATTTGTTCAGCTTAACTCGATGCCTATAATTTAATTTTATTATTTTGTACATCACTCGCTTTATCCGGATAAATGTATTAAAATCTAGTTTATTTAGTAAAGCCGGCGTAAAAGTTGTAAAACCGCGTTCTTTTTTTCCGTAAATATTACTCTCCAGTCGGGCATTATGGCCTTCGTATAACGCCGCCCGTTTCTGTTTATAAAATTCGCCTTAAAATTTGCAGCACCCCCGGGGACAATTAAGAAATGCTAGAAGTTCTCCGGCCAAATTTAAAATACCCCTCTGTAATTATTTCGACGTTAATCGGTATGTTTCTTGTAAGTAATTTAACGTTCTTAGAGGAGACTTAACGATTCGGCGAAACTATGACATTATTGCTGGAAAGTGCGTCGGAGCTACTAGTGGTTGGGGAGCACACTTAGTTTATATTACTCCAGATTTCCCTGGATAAGCGATCTTCTCAGTTTACGCGACGCGGAGTGATAACATCTAGGTTTCGCGTATAAGGTAATCTGATATTTTTGGTTACCGAACAATCTCTCCGGGTTATAGTTTGAATCCAACGCAACCCGCTTGTAATCAGGATGAATCCAAATAAAGAGTCGAAACGATTCTTTTAAACATCTCTCATAAATCCTCAAAGTTCGTAAAGTTCAAACAAATTCAAGTGCCATCCAGTTATTTTAATGGAGATCTGTTTTGACATATCCAATATCTCGGAACGATTTCGAAAGCCAAGATTTCTACACAACGCCTAAAGGAATGCCTTAATGTGATAAGGCTTGCACTGTGGGGTTAACGCAGCGGCTTCCATGGGAAAATTACCACCGTTTATTACACCCTGCTCTCTATTTCATGACGATGACAACGATAACATAATGCGACTTAATTACTCCAATAACTTACCCCGCCGCCGTAAAAACACCATAATTTTCCCAACCAACATAAATTTTTTAACGCTCATAAAACGCTGATAAAACCCCGCAAAATAATGTCCACTCTGGCTAATTCCAGCCTGGATAAAGAACAACGTTTGAACCTAACCCAAGAAGAATTTTCTTTTGTATACCAATCCACACCTACTTTCGGTATAATAATTAAAATGCAAGAATCCTGCGACGCCACTGTTTAAAAGCACTCCAGACATTCCAGGATGCTCGACGAGTTCGGATGGATCTCGGAATCTCGAGTAGAACGGGCGGACTGAAGCCGAGATTGTGTTCGACAGAAAATGGGAATAATAATAATAATAATCGGAGTAGGGAAGGCCCGGCCGGATTCAAAGGGGCACAATTAAAAGCGACTAAACGAGTTTGTGTATTTGGATAGTTTGCGGATGAGACGATTCATCCAGAACGGTGAGGAGACCTCGTTCAAGTTGACAAGTCGCAGCAGTTTCTGGTCGGGAAGTTAAACGAACGGAAATATGAATGTATTTTATAATGAGTTACTTTTCTACAATGGTTTTTTGTTCTATAAAGGATGAGTAAAACTTCTCAAGATTATTTTTTTCTGCACTTGAGAATCTTCCAGGAAGTTAAACGAATGAAAATTTGTATTTTATAACGAGTTGCTTTGCTACAATGACTTTTTTCTATACAGGATGTTCTGGAACAATTCTGGATTGCCTTGAGGAGAGTGAGCGGAACTTCTCAAGATTAATTTTTTCTTTACTTGAGAATCTTCCAGTTACGACAGCTTTTTTTTTATACAGGATGTTCTGGAAAAAAATCTGGATTGCATTAAGGAGAATGAGTAGGTCTTCTCAAGCTCTACTAGGTTTGGGAAT